GGGGTGGAAATCTGTTTAATTATTTCAAAAGTATTTATCTTTTTTATTTCAAAATGTAATGTGCTTCTGTTTCTCTTGAGGTTTTTCACCTATATGACTGGAAGGCTATGCTGATCATCAAAGCTGGATCAGCTAAATTGATAGCCTGACGTAGTCCGACTCAATTCTAGTCAGAATATGAGTCTGATACTGCTCCATAGAGCTGTGATTATGGGGCGTGTTTTGAACGAACCAGGAAAAAAAATGCCTCTGCACTCAATTGGATAGACCTACAACCAATAAGAGCAACGGAGTGCGTGACGTATCTTAAGCGAGGCATAGTTGTTGTCCACAAAAATCAAAGCGTGCAGTTTCACGCCTAGATTAAGAAGATGAGACTTGATCGCTTTTCTCTGTTCCTCTTTTAAAATTAATTTGCTGTCGATATCTTCTAGAACAGACCTAATAGCAGAATCTACTCACCCAAACTCTCCAGCGGCAGCCATTATTGTTGTCACCCAAGCGCGCTTTGGTCCGTGGTTGATAACGTTACTCTTGATCATCTGTCCATCATCGTATAAAGCCCGCCCTGACAATTTGATTGGATCGCCTGACAGTGGGCTTTAATACTCGCGCTACTATGGAGCAGAGCCAGACCGAACTTCCCCGAACTCAAACCTTGTGGGCGGGACTAAGTTCGGACTGGCACCCAGGCTACTAAATTGAAGGCTCTTTGAGTGAAATCCAGCTAAGTTCCGTCGTAGAAACTATCCCTTTCAAGTGGGGAATTGCACGGTAAACCAAACGTGACAAAACTTGACAGGTATCTCTGTCAGATATTAACTGGTTTGATGATCAGGAACCCTTAAGTTAGAGAAAAAAGCAAAATCAGAAGAATCTGTAGGAGTGTAGACAGGTGTCTACTGTATAGGAACCCATTTATTCTTTCCGACAAGTAAACTCCGCAACAAAGGGGTGTGTAATGTATAACAAATTGCATATAATCATCTTAATCCTAATTTGAAGGCTCTCCCTGAGATAAACCGGTTAAATGCAGCTGTGCCCTAAATCTTTCAGACTGAATAAGAGCATAAAGTGTTTTACTGCTCCTCCTCCCCAAGTGCTTTAATAAGCTGCTAGTTAGCTAGATGAGACGATGCTTCCACGTCTTCCCTGGGAGGGGGCCAATGGTTGCAAAGAATACCAATAGTAGTGTTATAGGTCAACCCATAGATCCGCAGCCAGAGAGCTACTAGCAACATGCCTGACTAATTATCTCAGCTAATTTTATTATAGTTGAGATTTTTTTCACATCTGTACTGTATAAAGAGCAGGAACATTATTCTACTCTATAGGCATTTGACAATTACAACAATCTAGAGGGTGTTTATTATATTTGTTTGGTTACCAACTTCTATAAATAACCAACTAACTGTATTTTATCAGTAGTAGGTGGCTTGAAAACATTTATATCAGTGGGAGTATTTCATTGCGCCCCAATGATAAGACATGCAGAGAAATGTGTTTCTGCTTGTTAGTAAAAATAAATTGTATGCAATCATAACTGAAAATAAATTAGTGACAGTTCAGTGTTACCATGTTGTGTTTTATTCATTCATGTTTGTCACACTCTCAGCATGAACGTTGTTTTGTTTCTTTGTTTTCCTAATTAAGTGACTAATTGCTTTAGATCATCTCATCAGTTGGTTCGTCTCAGGGGCAAATCTGACTGTAGATCTTTGGCAACAGCACTATAGCAAGATATGATGCTTGACTGGCTTTATTGTGCATGGCTTTATTCCTGACTCCTCAATTAAGGTGCTTCTGTCTCCTGCCAGTAAAGATAAAGCAGGATTAGTTGGTAGCTCTGATAATTACAGAGCTATTTCCCTTACAAGTAAACTGTTAAAGTTATTTGAAATAATTCTAGTTCCAAGATTTGAAGAAAATAAATGTCTACAATCAGTTTGGGTTTAAGTCTAAGAACTGTGGTGTGTCTAAATCTATAGGAAGATCCCTCCCATTCAAAACATGCAGGTCAGGTGAGAAAACCGTTTGACTGCATCCTCTGGGTCAGTGATGGAGTCGGACAAGGAGGCTTCCTCTCCTCTTTATTGATCAGTTCTTATATAGATGACCTTTCTAAGTAGATCAATCCATGTACAACTGGCTTATTGGTTGAAGACTTGGTTGTAAACCAATTGATTTATGCTGACAACTATGTAGTTTTAGTCCAAGTTCAGCTGGTCTGTAAAAGCTGCCTAATGCGCGTTCGGTATATGGTGAAGTTCAGGATGGTAAATTCAACCCATCAAAAAAGTGTATGATATTTCGCACTAAAGACGATACATGTCATAATTTTAAGTTGATCTTACTGGTCATGTGCTGAGAGACTGCTACCAGATGATGAGATTTATCGCCAAGCTTAAATGTTCTGGCTCAGAAATTTTGAGATTTTCTGATAAAGTTAAACTCAAATTTATTTAGATAATGTTATCATGGATACAGCACATTTATGATGCAATCATAAAAAACAGCTTTCTGACACTAAAGGTTGCTTATAAAGATGCATTTATCTTTAGTTAAAGAAGCTTAGATGGAGCATTGCCAGTTAACAGTTTGTTTCAGCTAATGTCGGCTGTTTTAAGGGATTTTATTTATAGGTTAATTTGCCAACTAAATCAGTCCAAAAATAGAATTATCCCTCTGTTGACTAACATTAAATATAGTCCAGTAAGATCTGTATATCGCTGCCTCCTAAAAGAGAATCTTTTTATGTATTTTTTTTATTTGTATTTTATTATGTAGAGGAGACCGGGGCTAGTTGTGACTTTTTACACTCATATCTTGGAATCAAAACATCATATATTAAGAAAATATGTACCCGATGAAAGACTAAAGTTTCAGGTATATATTTTGTATTCATGTCATTTTCATATCTTGTGTCAGTACAGAGTTATAAGCAATCAATTCAACATTGTCACCATGTAACAAGTTGCCCCACCAAAGGCTAAGTTTTCACACTATGTGGGGTAAGATGTCACACTGGATTTTGCAACCAATAAAATAAGGACAAAAGAATTATTTCCTTAATGGAAAGTTGATAAATTACATTAATTCACTCTTGTTACACTTGGGATATGAAATATCATGAAATATTATGCAACAAGCATTACTAAACAAACTGGTCCTGGAACAAAAGGAGATCTCACTAGTCAGAGTCTCCATCTCAGTTGCAGTTTTGGCAGACATATACAGAATTACCAGGCGTGCATTCTTAATGTGCCCATCCTTTGCATATCATGCACTGCAACCAGGGTTCTCCTGGGCGGCTCTTTCCAAATGGTTCTATAAGGACCAGGCACAGGGACTAATCTTCTTCCATAGTTTTTATATTTGCCCTCTATTTCTTCTCTGTGCTTTGCTTCTTTTGCACTTTAAATTTTGTAACATTGCCTTTCTTTTTGAACAGTATGTTCTTCCCTTTTGCCTGCCTTTCTGCTTCATGTGCCTCTTTCACTGATGTGTCAGTGAGAACAGAGGTGTTTCTCTTCCTTCTCTGCTGGGTAACTTTTTATCTTGGACCAGCTTTTGGGTAATGCCTTATATCCTCTAGAGTGAATGCATTGATGGAGGAGGCTGCTTTACTAAGGCCTGAAATAGCTTCTAGGTTGGTGCTTGGGTCTAGAGCAGCTGGGCCATTGCTTGGTCCAGCGCTGGCCCAGTTGGTGCTTGGGCTTGGTAGAGCTAGGTCCTAATAAGGGTGATCTGAGCAAATTCTGTCTACAAGAACACTTCCCTGTTGTAAGGCTGAATCCCCGTTGCACGAAAGCCAGCTTGATGTTATGTGGGGTTACAGTCATTGGATAAGTAGTTGCTACATTCCTAGGGATGTCATAAATGCGGAGTGCTTTCGCGGGGTTGTTCTTTTATAACTTCTGACCATCTTTTAACTTTCTCCTTTCTTTTAAACCACTATTTTTTTCAATAAAAATTTAGTAAAATCTTCATTAGGGTGTGATCATTTAAATAGTTATTTGAAAATTATCATTTTGGGGTAATCGTTACATGTGACAACTTAACCCAAAATGACTGTGACAAGTTGCCCAGAATGACCATGTTTGCTAATTCTAGCTCTAACTTAACATTAACTTAAATCAGAACAATGAATGATGTAGAACAGGATGTCTTAATATCCATTTTTAAAAAGTCCACATGTATATATATATATTTATCTGATTTAAACTTATTTTAAAAAAGAGAGTAATAATTTTTTACTTAATGAAAAATCTTTAATTGGTAAATGGCCTAGTAGTCAGGAGACTTGATCAAAGTTCTTTACACTACATTTAGTCATTCACCCATTCACGCACACACTCACACACTGATGTGTTGATGTTCATTTAAACTAACAATGTGTTGTCTTCTTCTCACTCAGTCCATAGGACCTGACCATGCAAATGAAGAAAACTAGTATTCTAGATTTTAGTTGCACCCTCTGGTGGAGAAGATAATTGCAATATGACACCCAGTCTCCCCTATTTGTACTCTCATTTAACCTTTTTTTTTTTCAATCATTGATTGTGTGTGTTGTTGTTTTTTTTAAGTAATTCGAAATACGAGTCTGTAATGAAATCAATTGCGTCTACTGAGGTTCAAAACAGCATTTCAAAATACTCATGAAAAGCATAAATGTATATATGTTTTTCCCTTATCATTGCATAAATCTTACCAAACTAATATGTGTCACAATATAAGTCTAAACAAAACATAAAACAACATGGATCCGTCTAACCTTGGTGTAAATATGTCTAAGAAGGGTGTCCTGCTCACACTGCTTCCAGGCCTGGTTTATAAACCTTCCTCTCCATTTATTATATGTCAAATGCAATCAGACAGCAAGCTGCAAATCAAATTAGCATTTGATCCAATTCCTACAGCATGTTCTTTGGTTATTTGTATATTTTCTTACCAAAATGTGAAAGAACGAATAAAAATTGCAACTAAATGTCATTTCATTTTTGCAGAGAGTTACCGTTCTGGGAGCTGACCTTTAGAAGTCGATCTTTCCTCTATAAGCAGGTTGGTTGCTCTTATGTCTTGTAAATGCCAGCTTAATCAATGTGTGTATTTCTGATTTTGTTTCTAATTGGTCTGGATTATCAGCGCCCTCTGCTGGTAGTGAAAACCAGCACGTTTGCTTTAAACCTGAGAGCATAAGTCTGGTTGTTTGATCCAGGTGCGGAGGATGACCGGGGCCCTGGTGGCTGTAGGCCGGGGACAGCTGTCCGTGTCTCAGGTCAAACAGATCCTGGACGCTCGGGACACGCTGGCCTACCCTCAGGGTGTGGTTGCTCCAGCTCACGGCCTCTTCCTTAGAAGTGTAGATTACAAAGAGTCAGGTGAGTGGCAATCATCCTTAACCTTTACTAATATTTAATTTCCTTCTTCTAGCCACAGTGCAAACATTTCAATTTACACATTTATCAAATCTTTAAGATTCCTTACTCCATAAGAGCTGAATGAAATGTGAAACACGGAAAAACTAAATGTGTAAAATAGTAATTTCTAACTACTGCAAACACTGTACTGTTTCAACCATTTGAGAATAAAAACATTCAGCTCACATTTAGGACATTAAAGCTGCTTACTTGTATAATTTAAAAAAAAATATTTATCTTCTTGTAACCTTTTTTCCCTCAATACAAATGAACAAGGCAAACCCTACAATTACCCAAACTCTGCTCTCATCACTAAATCAACTTAAAACTGCTCCAAAGCTATTGGACTATAACTAAATCCCTGTTATGTCTTTATCATTTTCCATCTATTTCCACTATTTATATTATAAAAATATTCAAACTGCCACATCTATAACAACATGTACATCTTTAATTAATTTGATGCTCTTAAACAGAAGCTATAATACCAATCATATGTCAGGTTGTCTGGATGGATAATTAAAAGATAATTGAACTTTAGTGATCTCGCATTGGAGAAATTCACTCTCTGCATTTGTTCCATCCCCTTGGGGAGCAGTAGGCTGCCATTGTGTGGCGCCCGCAGAGCAGTGTGGGGTTAGGGGTCTTGCTCAGAGACCCAGAGTGGCAGTTTGTGGGAATGGGGCTCAAACTCAGAACCTCTGGATTCCAAGTTCTATGCTGTAACCACTGGGCCGCCCCCCCCCTAAACATTAATCACTGCCCATTACTTTGCTCCTAAGTGATTGGAATATTTAAAGTCTTTAAAGAAATCTATATTTTAGGAAACATTAATGATTTTCAGAATTTTTATATCTATTGTTCCTTATGTAATAAAAAAGCTTCAGGATTTTTGCAGAACTCCTAGTTTATGTTGCCAAAGCGAGGGAACCAGCATTTGATGTCTTTTAACATTTCAAGCTAGTGGAAGCATAATTATTTACGCAGAAATTGTCAAACAGCAAAGTGCTCTGCTTCCAAAATATAAGAATAAATCATTCAGGGACAGAAGGAGTTGGAAACAGGGCTACATTTGTTTAGGGCCAAAAAAACAACAGGAATATTTAACAAAAAGAGTTGTTTCTATAATATCTAGAATAGGAAATTTTTCTTATTTATTAATTAAAGATATAGTGGAGGATATTAGTGAATTTTTCAAAATACCCGCCCTCTAAAAATAAATGCACATGCACAACCCTGTACCCACTCCAGAGAGGCAATGCCTATTAGATGTGTGCGAGAGCATGCAGGAGCCCATTTCTCCTCGTGCACGCTCGGTTTAAAAGTTGCTGTTTGCATTACTCATACAAGCTTACTTTCCAAAAGATTTGCAATTTTTCCACGGTCAGACTCTGCACCGGTGAGTGAAAATGGGGACGAGCATATAGGGCGGCCTTACATAAACATATCATCCAAATGTTTGAAAATTAGGAGGACCACTTATTTTGATGAAATCCTTCACTATACCTATAAATAAGCATAGAGTTTTAATAAATATTCTTAATAGAATGTTGAATTTGACGACAAAAAAAAACACACAGTAAACAACTGGGTGTTAGACATATATGCTATGAAAATAAAGCTGTCTAAGCTAGAACCTTTAACTTACCTTAACCTTAGTATATTTTGGGCCAAAGTTATTAAAAGCTGCAGAGGTGGATCTAAAGAGCCACATGTGGCTTTTGTTCCAAGGCGTCAAGCTTTGTTTTTGAACTAAAGTGTGTGTTAGAATACTTTATTGAATACAAAAGATTGGGTTGGTTAAAAACACTAAACAGGTTGATTTACTTTGTATTTTGATCCAATTAATCGCAAACACTGAGCAAAAAGAAACATCTGCGTTTGTTATTAAGAAAAAATATATTTTTTGTCAGAATCCTTGAAATGTTTATTAAACTGACTAGTTCTTGTGGCTTTGCCATGCTTCCTGCAGCAGCTGTAGGTGGCTTTGCCAGTGCTGTTATGGTGAATATTCATGACAAGGGGAGAAATCAGTTTTCCTTGTCTGTCTCTAATGCAACATGTGCATTAAATTGACTAATGCTAACTGCAGAAAACAACCTTACTGCATGGTATACATTGCTTCTCAGTGCTGGAATCTGATCATAACATATTGCACAACAGTCCTACATCATTTCTAGGGCTGCAACTTATGATAATTTTCTAATAAATTCATTTGAATTAATAATCAGATAGAAAAATATGCCTTGAAGTAGATTTTTACAGAGTTTAATCCCTTAAAGTTAAAACTGCCACTTGAGTTCTAAATAAAGCAGATTACCGGTAATGGATAAAAAAAGGTTTTTCCACCTTAAGAGCAAAATGTTTATATATCTTGGTGTAATTACTGCTCTGTTTGGGTTGCTCTTAAAGCTAATGGCTAGGGATGCACGATATTGGGATTTTGGCCGATATCCGATATGCCGATATTTTAAAATTCATGTAGCCGATAACCGATATTGATACCGATGTTAAAGCTGGACAAAAATAAGTAGTCATTGAAAATAGCAGTTTTGTTATCCATTTCTGACACTTTGAAAAATA